GGGGGGGGGGGGGGGGGGGGGGTGGACCCCCTCCTGCGGTGCCTGCCTGTGATGTTTTTATCGCGAGCAGGGTTCAGCACTCCCCACCCTCGTCAACAATGAAGTCGAAGTATTATTTACTAACGAAACTATTGTACACCTTGTACACGTCGGTAGCGGATCGGTGCTCGTTTCAAAATCAAAGGACCTGTTTTGGAGTAACACAAGGAGCCTTGCCTTTCAGCGCGTGCTCGTGACAGAGGTGTTCCTATATGGTTTCGGTACTCATTCTCACACGGCCCAGCCTGCACCTTTCGCGATTTCGCGCCGCCGATGGTGTCGCTATGCCGCTCGTAACGGAATTGCTAATTGCAGGGTGGTACATACGTGAGGGTACATCGGGTCTCACCTCCATTTAATGTTGCCTCGTTGTATGCAAAAACTGTTTCGCCATCCAAGGTGATGTTATTTTCTGATGAGTAGATAGCACCTGCGGCGAGAAAAACGGGTGACGTTAGGTTGCATTTGCACTAAAGTTGATGCTGAAACAGTTGGGGCGTGCGGCGCTTGAAGCGAGGTGCTGCTCTCGATTCTCTTTGCTGCGTAGCTTCCCTTCCAATAGTCTAAAGGGTCGGTGGTATCGGAACATTCTAATGAAGAATCGGCGGTGCACCTGTACCAATAGAAGTAGTATGAACCTTCAATTGCGTATTTCCAGGCATTTTTCAGAAAAATGTGTGCCCAAGACGAAAGCGGGATTGAAACATCCAGGAGTCTTAATTAGACGTAATCGGCGCACTTCTTGTGACATCCTGCACGTAGTTGGCGGTGAAGCGAGGAGTCCACTATGGTTGATTGCAGGCGTGGTCTCGTGGCTTCTGTCTGTGTGCTTGAGTGCGGTACTCATGATGACATCTGCAGCTTGCATACTCACGTGTTCCTACCGGCAAACTTGAATAGCCATCGGCATCGAGACCGCTTAGCGGTTCAAACAAAGGGTGCTCACTTTCGTGTGTGCTTTGGCCTGCATCGTGTCTCACCTCCATGTATCCCTGCGGTGTTGCCCGAGAAAGTAATGACCCCATCGATGACAACGTTTCCTTCCGCATAAAAAGCACCTGTGACAAAATATAAGAGCGCATATCGAACTATTTATGCTTTGATGGCGATTGTTCCCGCATGCTTTGCATGAATTAGTTCCCACGATGTGGAGTGGGCCACTCCAAGGTGACGATGGTTGCGTCTGGATGCTCCGGAGCGTGCACAATCGTGCCATCTGAGGGATGGATATTAGCGGGAAAATATCACACCAATATGTAGTCGTGGATCAAACATGTGTATCAAGCGACATTTTTCATTTAAAACCAAACCATGTAGCAAGAGGGTGATAGACTGCCTCTTGGACTCAACTGGAGCACTTTTCGAAAGCCCTGCAGACACTCAGTGGTGGCTGGGAGATGTCGCCTATCACCACGTGGTCTTGTGGCTTCTGTGTGTTTTGACTAAAAACGATGCAATTTCAACGACAACGACCATGATCCAGCCACAAAATGGCTTTGGAGCTCATCATAGGGGTGCCCACTGCTGGACTGTGCCTCGACGCACATATGTCGCACCTCCCCGATCTTCGGCAGTGTTGTTGTCGAAAGTCGCAGTACCGTAAATGGTGATGCCGTTGCCGCTGTCGTAGAGAGCACCTGCGGCGACAAGTATGAGCGCGTGCAAATGGCGTGCTATATCGGGTTCTTGCATCCGCACTTGTTTTACGACAACGCGCAGGGGGGAATACCAATACGTAGCATTTAAGGTGGGAACCCACACGACGACAATGCTCGCCTCTCGCCTCTCGATGCTCCTGTTCTTCTCTGCACACCCTCTCGTAATTGTGAATGGATGACGGCCTTGATACATTTTTTTCTTGGTGTAAGGGGAGTAGCCAAGACTATCTCGGCCAAGAGAGAGATGAAAACATTTGGAGGTAGACAGGGTGACATGCTTTTGTAGGGAAAACCACACCGGCACATTCGGTCAGACTCGCAACATTTTTCGTGTCCAACGTTCCCGCTGGCCCGCTTTATCACTGGGTTTTCAGCTCTAGGTCAGAACTCCCTCACTGCGGCGGAAGTCGGAACAACAGGGGTCATCCTCCCTTTATTAACATCATGGACCTGTTCGGCGTTGGCAAGAGGAGTCCGGTACCATTCGTCTGGCGGGCTCATGGCTGCCGGTGCTCGGTTGAGATCATCCCCGAGGCCAATCTTGTACGACAACTGTAATGCTTCGCCGCCCATCGCGGGGGTGCTCAATGTGCCTGGGTGAAATTGATGACTCACCTCCCCAAATCCCAGCACTGTTGTTGGTGAAAGCCGTGGTGCCATCGATGGTGATGCTACCATCGGTAGTCAGGTAGATAGCACCTGCGGCGAGAAACGAGCGTGCACACAGCGTCGGAATGTGGCAGGGTCACGGCCTGTGAAGACACATCCTCACAAACAAGACTCTACTCGAAGGTGGTAGGAGCAATGTCGTGTCTTCCAAAGCTTGGTCTCGCGGTTTCCGCATGTTTGACCGCGGCGATCAAAATTACGCCCAAGTGCCAGACTCACAAGCTCCCACCAGGAACTTTCGCAATACCGGCCCGCCAGTTTTGCCGTCAATGACGAAAAGTTACTCCTTACTTTGGGGGTGCCTACGCGCGCAAATAGTTCGTCTCACCTCCAAATTCCCCTGCACTGTTGTCCGCGAAAGTCGTGTCGCCATCGAGGGTGATGTTGCTGCCCCTCGAACTGATGGCACCTGACACCAGGAAATCAGGCATACTTATAAGCATCGAGATACATGTGGTCGTGTGGTTGCAGAAGGGATACATGGCGACTTCCTGGTGTGGGACCGCTCAGGGTCGCTGAGGGAGAAGAACCCACCGCTTCACTTGGTGCTGGGACAGCTCGGCGAGCTCGGAGACCCACTCACACCACCAACCGAAACAAGCACCAAGGCATGGGGAGGTATCTTTTGTAACACAGAGTCAGCACAGCAGCTGCGGGCAAAACAACTGCGGAACAACATAAAAAGTCGGCGATCGAGAAAAACCCTCGAATCATATTATCGCAACGTCGCATACCTCCGGAGTCAATCGCGTTATTGCCGATAAACGAGCAACTAGAGGCAGTCAGTATGCAGTCGTCGCTTCTGAGGATCACCGCCCCGCCGCCCCCATAGGAGTAGGTCGCGGTATATGTAGCCACCCCACGCACGAGGGACAGCGCATCGAGCTCTAGCGTTGAACCATCGTTGACGTTGAAGAGCACAACGGCATCGCCACCGTCGATCACTGCCTCCCCCGCGCTAGCCCCCGTAACCTTGACATAGCTGCCATTGGAGATGAATATCGGTCGCTCAAGCAACACTTCCCCCTGCCACTCAACCTCGAACTCGCCAGCTCCCGAGCAGAGCAATGCCTCGCTAAGTTCCGAGGCCTCCTCCGTGGTGGACACCACCCGAGCATCCACTGCCACGGAACACGTTGCAGCTTGCGCGTGCGGCATTCCCACCATCCCAAGGAGCGCTGCCAAAGAAGCGTAGAGCCACATCCTGGTGTTTGCGATAGGGTCTTCGAAGAGATCAGTTTTGCGCCGGCGGGGGAATATCTGTGGAGACCGATACAGCACAGGAACAGAGTAGTAGTGGCTGCTGGTTCTGAGAATATTTTTGCGTAGAGAGAGAGAGAGGGAACGTGAGAGACAGAGAGAGAGAGAGAGAGAGAGAGAGGATTTCCAAGTGCGGTTAAGTGGGTGTGTACGCGTACATACTCTGGGTGAGCTTATTCCAATGCTCCCCGGCAGTAGGGTCTCCGCGGTGTACGATTGTTGACAGTCCCGCCGGGGCCGTGTCCTGCAATGCTGCAATGTTGACTGCCTCACTGGGCTTCCGGCCAGCTAAAGTTGCGAAAGATTGCAGAGACGACAGGTGCTTAAGTCTTTGTTAAGGGAAAGCGGTGTTTTTCTACAACTATGGCCGGGACCATATCGATCATCACGGTTGGAAGAGCTGATTTCCCCGCAGGGTCCTATATATAGGGTCATATCGATCATCACGGTTGGAAGAGCTGATTTCCCCGCAGGGTCCTGTCGATTTGTCTCTTTTAAAGAAAAATCAAAAATCAAAGAAGGAACCTCCCCACAAAAGAGACGGGACTCTAAGCGGTGAATTAGCAACTCCCTACAGCCAGTGATGTAAATATGGGTCTGTTCGAGTAGAAAAACACCTACAACTTTGAAAGAAAGTGATACCTCCCTTGCAAAACTCTGCCAGGTCAAACAGCAAATAGAAATATTGAGTTATCGCGCCACTGCTTCGACCTTCAATATCCAAGCCCCAGCAGCGGTTCTGAGCGTGCCACCGGAACCCACCGCTGCTGCAGAGTGTTTTCTACTGAAGAAGACCTTAGGGTCGGGACTCCTCCGAAAACTCATCTTATTTGAGCCTGAACAGTTTTGGCTCTATTGACTTGATTTTAGAGTCGTGGTATTTTTTATCGTGGATTTCAAGTCGGAGATTGGAGGTAGACCACGTGATGCGCACGTAAAGAGGAGCCTTTAACACCGCTCTGTGCGACAATCGACAATTTTCTTCTTGCCCAACGCCCTCCTACAGGTACGATGCCTCCAGTTTGATTGCTGGGTGTTCAATCGCTGTTTTTCAATTTTCGTCAAAACATAATTGGTTTTCAGCGGACCCTTAATGGTGCGTGGCGGGCTCAAAGACACAAAAACCATTTCCGTAGTGCTACCCTCGCAAACCACAGCACACGCCACACACAAGTGCACAATATATGGATACGGGAATCACTGCTGTAGTTAACCTTTAGGGGCGTATACACTGCTGTGCTGTGCCCTTTTTATTTGGCTGGTGGACGCCTCCTTGAAAACTGGGGGCACATGTAGATCCGTCACGGCCCACCGCCGACAACCCCAGTACAACCCAGTACCCGAATACCTTGTGAACACGATCACGGACTGCCGGAAAGCTCAGCTAGGCCGGGCGTAATCCCAACCACGGAAGTCAGTTCACGGTGAAGCAGGTGTGTGAGTACCCACTGGCAGGGGCGCGACTATTTGCAATCCATGGATTGAAAAAGAGAACCACAGTCCAAGCATCCACACGGGTCGAAACCCCGGGAAACTGCCCGGAGCGTCCCCGAAGAGGTTCTCCCTCCTCTCTCTCAAATTATCTCGAGCCTGGATCTAACGCCCGTAGTCTTCGAAGCAGAGCTCTAGTCTTCAGCAACAGCCCCAACAGGACATACTGACATACTGGCACATACCACGCCAAGGCCACCCTTCACACCCGGGGTGCCCAGGAGACGCTAGGCCTCAGAGGAGCAAGAGGACACGACGACACACAACGCCCCGTACTACGTGCGTGCTCGTCTCTC